GGGGAAGATATAATAATTAAATTGAATTTAATATAAATTATTTTATTATATTTTTATATAAAATAAATATTTAAATAATTAAATTTATTTAATTGAATTAATCAATAATTTACTTTTAAGGAAAAAAATTGAAATTCTAATTTTGTAATGAATATATATATATATATCCACGTAATATTATATTTGTTAAAAATTTAAAAAAATTAATTAAATATCAAATATATAGTCAATTTCAATTTTTTTTGTATATTTACAGAAAAAAATAATTAAATATTAATCAAGCTTTCCTTAAATTTTTAATGCATGATTTGGGTTTATGGGCTTATCTTATAAGCCCATTTCAATTTGAAATGTATTTTTCTTTTTTTTTTTCTCCTATTTACATTAAATTAATTTGTAAGTTTCAATGATAATAATTAAAGTTTTCTAATGAAATTAGATCATAGCATATCTATATTTATTATATATATAAGTACTATTAAAAAAAAACATCACATGTCATTTTTTATTTTTTAAAATAAAAATAATCTATTAATATTAATTACAATCATATCATATATAGATAAATTTTAAATATTATTATTTTTTAAAATAATCAACTTCATTAAAGTATTAAGTGTAACATCTCGGGTTCGTAATAATTAGTCTTGTGATAATAAATTAAAATTTTCTTATATGATAATAATAGTTGATTTTTGTTTTATTTATTAAAATAGTGCAAAAATAATATATATATATATATATATGTATCTTTGGACATTTTTTAAACAAATTTTAAGAATCAAGGCCAATTTATAAAATAAAAGAAGGTATGTATGAAAGAAAAAAAATGGGGTCACTCTATAAATTAAAGGAAACATGCCACGTAGATGGTCAGATCAGCAGCACGTCAAATCGAGATGTGCTGCGTGACAACCATGTTAGTAAGCATCTTTAAGCGGGAAGCCACGTTAGCGATTCACAAATTTAAGGGATCAAACAGCTTAGATTCGTTCCCGTTCACACGAACGGCTCGATCATATTTTCTCCCGAATTTGAGCGAATGGCTCTGATCACCCATGTGATGGATCCAACGGTCGCACGATTGATCGATCAAACGGTCTGAGACATACACGAGAGGAAAACTCGAGACACCTTAAATAGGCTAGATCGGATGGTTTTCGCTGCTCCACGCGGACCCGTACGAACGACCCAAATTAAGAAGGAGAGGTATTTAAACCTCTTTTTGGCCAGCCTCCTAAACCCTAGTGGCCAAGTCAACTGGAGAAGGAAAAATAGGGGGTAGTGAAAGGAGCTCAGATGTCAGAAGAGTGACGACGTTGCCATGCTGAAAGTTAAAAAACGACGCCAATAAGTGCAATTTTCTCTCATTTGTCATATTTTTCCATTCTAGACCATTCAAAACTATCTTTGATGTAGAAAAACTCAAGAAAAAAGCGTAACCCGAGAAAGCAGGCGGCAGCTTGGTTGCGTTGCTATGCCAGAGGCCAAACCAATGTCGGTAAGGTTAAAATTCCATCTTTTTATTATGTAAAACACTTTTTAACCATGTTTTAAGCTAAATTCCACCATAATTATGTTAGTTCTGACGTAACTAAGGGAGAGGAGCGTTGGGGAAGAAGAACCAGACTGCGGAGCTCGGTGGCACCGCCGTGTCGGAACACCAAATCGGCCTGATGAGTTTTCTCTACCCTTTTTTCACCACTCCTTACGTATTTTCATGTTTTTTTATGTGTATTTTCAAATTTTATCAGTAAATCTACGAAATCCAAGAATCATGAACCATCACAATGTAAGAATCTCTCAACTTTTTTTCTGTTATAGTTAAATCAAAGTTTAATAAATAATAAACGGTGATTTTAAATAATTTTGTGATTCCTTAATAATTAAATACAGGTTGCCGATGGAACTAGTTAATCGATTGTTTATGTTCGCTACTAGTTTTATCTTGTGCCTCTTATTCGTTATTTTTATCTCTATTTTTATTTTATTATATTTACTATTCTTATTTTATTTTCATTTTCCCCGTGCTTATTTACTTATTTTGCATTTGTCTGATTCTTTTCTGTTGGTCTAATCTATTTCCATTTCATTATTCATATTATTGCAACATACGAAATCTTATTCTATTATGCCATTTTATTTCACTTATATTTACGATTTTATTCCTTAATGGATTTTGAAACATGGATTTCATATTCTTGCATTATTTGCAGTACAGGTCTTACATGTTGGTGGCTTGATAATAATGAAAAACATGCATACATAAATCGATAAAAATGACTTACCGTGTATCATGAGAAATAGTCGATGAACTTGGTACATAGGATGAATCCTATTGTAGAGTATCATCAATTATACGGGACTAGAAAATCCCATATTAGACGGGCTTGAGAGTTAATTAATTTCGCTTATATCGGATGAAATATTGATATGGTCTTAAAATTGTGGTGCCCATTACCCGACAAAGTTTGGAGACAATCGATGATTTACAAATAAAGTATTTTGTATCCAGATATAACGAGGATCTCTGTATTCTTAGTGATACCGGTAGACCGAATAAAATAATATGACAAGAGTGGATATGGCAAGTAACCCGATTTCAAGCAAATAGTAAAGAATTCAATGTTACATGTTTATTAGAATGTATGCTTATTGCGATTAAATCATCATTCTGATTTTATCTTAGTATATTGTATTTAAGAAACTACTAGTTGAGGAAGAAAAAATAATATTTTTAGTAAAATGGATAAGGAATGCATTAGCATTCAGATTTCATTAAAAGCATGCTATATCGGTTGTTTTATATTTTTTATAACTTTTTGATTGTTCGTATCAGTGGTAAGGTGTTAATATTTTTACTAAAGTAGTGTAACTCATTCCCTTCTTATTAATAATTTCATATCAGGACGACTAAAACTCAAATCTCAAAGAACAAAAGACTAGTTGAGTAATCATCTCTTTTCGCTCCGCCAATTTCGAATCGAGGTTAATGATTACTTTATAATATTTTTCTCGTTTTAAATTTTAAACATTCCTTTAGTTCTTATTTGGGCACTTTAAGTAAACGTACAATGAATATAATCTTTGAACTTTTAATTCTACTGCTAAATAAAAACTTCAGTATTATTTATATTACTATTATTACCCGGCTATACGCTCGAAAATACCTGATAGGGGTTTGAGCCTTTAGATTAAGAACTCAATACATCAACAATAAGAGTAAGTCCTCTCAACATGAAAACAGGGGAAAAAACGAGCAACCTTTGCTACTTGATAGGCCGCCTCGTTGTCTTGTCTTCGTACTCATTGGAATGAAATGTCTGGTTAATGCTTCAACATTGACCTGCAGTCCTCCATGATGAAGCTCAAAATTATCATTATCCCTGGACTAAGACTTTTTTATGCGTCCATCTCTAGGATGCCTAGTCATAGTAAGTTATATAACTCAAGCACAACACGACACATTAGTAGTTCAACTAAGTACATCGAATGGCTTCCTTGTGACCAATCCGAGATCACAACAATCACCATTCTCGATGAATCACAGACAACTGCATCGTATCCCATAATTGTTTTTGTATTAAAAGTGGTTCTATTAATGTTGCATTTCCAGAGACTAGATACTGGAGCTTGCAACTCCGTGGAGGTGGATGGGAATTGATACTACCCTAAATTTAAATATTATATTAAACTTTAAAATACAAAAATAAAATGTAGTGTTTGGTTAATTATAAATTATACGCTAAAACAACCACAAAATTTGATATTATTTTAAAATAAAGTGTCTTGATTCATAAAGTAATTTCTATTTTGATTTTTTGCTGTTTGAGATTTTTTAATTTAAGATTTTGTTTTCATTTTGCTTTCAACTTGTTATCTCGTAATTCAATTTTTTTTTTTTGTCAAACTAGTAAACTAATCCCTCCATTAATTTTATTGTTTAATTCTCTTTTAACTCTTATAATACTACGAAATAATAAGTTTGACCAATATTTAAATCATAAGATAGTGAGTTACCAAAATGTACGAGGTTTCATATTGAATAACTCAAATAATAGCATGTCGAATTAAAATTTATTTTAATAAATATTTTAAAGAAAATTTTGCTTTGTAATTAAATATTATTCTCTCTTTTAACTTCTTTTCTTTTAAAAAATAAAACAATCAAGTAATCAAATTTCATCGAGTAATGAGGTTAATTCTTTTTAATTTTTTTAATATTATGGAATAACGCATTTGACTAAAGTTTTAATTAAAAGGTAATGAATTACCAAAAAAATTACAAAATTTCGTATAAAAAACTCGAAAAATCACGAGAGGTCAAA